ACACGCATGCCCGCACAAACCCAGTGGTGTTTTGAATCTTTAAATCTCATCAGGAATTATTCCTTCACTCATGCATTTTACTTTGGTCGAGGTTTTTGTATCCATCGTCTCATTCTTCTCCTGTTTTGCTGTTTATAAGCCGCTGTTCGATTGGAAACCATGTAGGAGGCTTGATAGAACTGTGGATAAGCTCTGAATGCACGGTTTCTCAGGAAGAGGGGGAGAGGTTCAGTTCTGACTCACGTGGGTGAAGTTCAGTGCATTAGCCACAAGACATCTACCTGATCTTCTCTGTGGCCTTGTAAAATGACTGATTGCTGGGTTTAAAGCATTTCACCAGTGGAGGAGTCAAGTAAAGTAAAATTACAAAGTTTGGTTTTCTCATTGCTAGTGCAAGGAAGATCATAAGCCAAATTTAAAAACCCTTAATTCAGTTATATTTCATCATGAAAAAGTGAGCTTAATTATGGAAAATACCTTAGCACTGAGGCTAATATTTCTTTTAAATTTGCACTTTACTATATGTGACTGCTAATTCCATTTTTGCCCAGTCTTCTTTATTCCGTTTTCCTTGAGCATATGCACTGTGAGACTAGAATGTAGTTCATTTCTTGTCAAGTTGGTAGAGTGATACGTTTTTAAAAGGGGCTGAGCGGGGGGACTAACCTTGAAGATGTGAAGCAAACAGATGTTCTCATAGAAAGCTAACCATTTTAATATAATTTTCCTGTGCAAATGGGCTATTCTTTGCACTGTTAGATTTTTACATTTACTGCTTTTGATCAAGATTTGTCCCAGCTGAAAATGATCTCTTAAAGATTCACTGTGCAGTGGCACAGTTGTTAACACTTTACAAATATTAACCCACTGAATCTTACAAAAACCCTTTGGAATAGTTGCTACTATTGCTAATGAGTAGGATCTGTAAAGTGCTACTTATTTTACAGACGAGGCAACTGTAGCACAGAGAGGTTAAATAACTTGACCAAGGTCACACAGCTAATAAATGGCAAAACACAGGCAGCCTAACACCATGCATTTAACTAAATCTGCGAA